ATATATTCACAAAAATATTCCGCGGTTTTCTTTGTCAATCTGGACATAGAGTTCTCTTTTTGGATTTTTCACTCTTGCTTTTTTCTTTCTTTCTTTCTTTTTTTTTTGCTCTTTTTTTTCGCTTTTTTTTGGTTATTTTTGTCACTCTTTTCTTTCTTCTCCTTTTTTTTTTCACTCACCTTATTTGATGTCAATGATCGAATCCGATGCGGATTGCCTATGTATCATGACGCCGCATGAATCAGATCTTGCGTAGTTCAGAAAGATTAGGAATAAACTAAATAAACTAACTCTTTTTTTTCCTTCTGGATTTTGATTTTTTTTTTAATTTTCGAAAGACTTATAAAGAAGAAAGTTTTTTTTTTTAATTTCGATTTCTTTTTTTTTTTTTGAGAATTTTTGAAAAGAAAGAAAATATTATTTTGGATTTTGTTTTTAATATTTTGGGAGAAAGACTTCTAAAAAGAAAAGGTAGAAAATATTTTTGGATTTTGAATTGATTTGTTTCTTTTTTCAAATGAAAGACTTCTATAAAGATTTTTTTTTTTTTGATTTTAATTTTTTTTCATTTGGGATTTTCTAAGGAAAAACTTGTAAAGAATGAATTAAAGAAAAATATTTTTGGATTTTGACTTTTTTTTTAAAATTTCCAAAAGAAAAACTTCTACAAAAGAAGGAAAAGTTTTGGATTTTATGTGTCAAAGAAAAACTTATAAAGAAGGAATCAAAGGAAAATATTTTTGAATTTTTGAAAATTGGGGCCGGAACCGATGAGGTTTGCCTACGTATCTCACATCCGGTGAGAATCAGACCCGCGTAGTTCGGTAAGAAAAGCATGACCTTTTATTTTAAAAATATTTGGCATATTAGGAAATGATTTTTTTTTCAAAATGTTGGCAGAGTTTGGGGATTTTCAAATACCTGAATTTTTAGAAATCGGGTAAATTTCTCTCTCTTGCATCACTCTTGTTTTTCTTGATTTTCTTTCCCTTTTATAGAAGAAGGTCAACATGCAAGCCGAAATAAATAAATGTACAAGTAGCACGTAACAATGCATCAGGATGATTTTTTGATTTGGGTACACTTGTCCTAGACGGACCCAACCCATGTGTTGAGTCCCCAAAGTCAAATGCACGTGATGCAAACAAGCATACCTACTAGGGATCCAGCATGTGGTTATGTCATTCTAAGTTTAAATCCTGGGTGTATTGTTCTAGACTTGGCTTACCCGAGTAGACAACTAGAGGAGGGG